AAGGCGAAATCCTAAGTTTTGCTTGGCTTGAGAAGTGATTGTAGGCTTTCCTTGGACCATTTTAATTTTTTATTGCCTACCAATGTTGTTATCCCTAGTCAACCCATTTGAGCCTCGAGCCTTTCTCATTTGATAACCATGTTATAAGCATGTACACGTTTTGTCGTGACCCTCTCTTGGCACTCGAGCTTTCCTTAACACTCTTGTGAAACAAATGGCTAAAAATATAAGTTTGGGGGAGAGACGAGGAAATTGAAAAATGTATTAGGGCACAAAAGGAGAAAAGAATTGATGAGAAGGAAAGGCAAGAAAAGAAAAGAACAAAAAAGAAAAATGCAAACAAGTGAATAAGTGAAAGAGTTGAAGGGATTCAAAGAGAGGTAATGATCCCAAACATGGAGAAATCAAATAGGGAGAAAATGAATGTAATGATAAAGAAAGAGTGATGTTAAGTCTCTTTAGATCCCCAAGGAAAAGAAAGTGCCTCAAAGAATTGACAAAGTGTGAGCCTAGAATAAAAAATGGAGTGCTTAAGGAAAGGTGTAACCACTCAACCATATTGTATCCAACCCTAATCCAAAAGCCTTCATTACATCCCGAAAGAAGTCCTATTTGATCTCGAGCCGAGTGAGCTTGCATTAGTGGCGATCTGCATGAGGGGCAAGCCTATGGTACTTGAAGCCATACTTGCGACATTCTCTTGAGAGAGATGAGTGAACCTTGCATAAATCTTTGGATTGAGTGCTAAAATTCTTAAGTGAGCCAGGTAAACGGAGAGTAGAGGAGGAAGAGTTTGGGATCCACAATAACCTACATGATAGAGAAAGAGTCCTTGATGAGTAAAGTCAACTTTTGATGCTCAAATGTCACTTTAGAACTATATGTGCATAAATGTTTAACTCGCCGCCTTGTTGATAATACATAAGTAATGTGGGTAATTATTGGTCCTAACTGATGTATGGATGGCTCACCTTTGACTCACTGAAATGACCCTTCACTTTTGGAGGTGGGAACTAAAATGTTTGCTTGAGGACAAGCAAAGACTTAAGTTTGGGGGAGTTGATAAGTGGGGATTTTGACTACTTATTAGCGCCTTTTTAACTTTTGTTTTAGTCTAAAAGCATTGAATTGCGTATCCGAAACAAATAAAATTGTACAAAATTGCAGGAATGTTAGAAGTTGGGGTCTCAAGATGAAATCGGACTAAAAAGGAGCAGTCTAAGCACAAGGCAATAAAGGGCACAAAGCACAAAATGTGCGGTCCATAGAAGAAATTGCGAACCGCAGACAATTGTGCAAATTGCGGACCGCACATGAATTGTGCGGCCGCAAAAGCTGGGCTAGGAGTCAATATTAGAGAGTATGCAAATTACCAAGTCCAGAACCTTAGTGAATTGCGGACCACACAACATATGTGCGGCCGCACCCCTAACATTGCGGACCGCAGAAGATTGTCTTGTGGCCGCAGTTCTAAATTTGTGGACTGCAAAAAAGTTGCTATGCGACCGCAATTCAGAATTGTGCGGCCGCAGAACCTCCCGAGGGGTATTTTTGTCCGAGATGTTTAGTCTTGTATAAATAGACGAGTTTTACAAAATTAGGTCAAGTTTGAACCTCTGCAATTATTGTAACTGTTTTTCTTTGCCATTTTTGGAAGTTTACTTTGCTTTGGTGTATTTTACAATAGATTTAGCCATTTTAATCTTTCATTATAAGTTTAATTAGTCTTTCTCCTCTATTTTCTTGAGACCCAAGTATGAGTAGCTAGATTTTTAGTAGGGTTGTGGCCCAACCCTAGTGTGTAAACCTTATGGGTATCTAATTTAGTGCTTGTTTATGATTGGGTGTTTATTATTTAGCTTAGTTCATGCTTTAATTTGTGGAATTAATGGTTGCAAACATTTGTTCATGCCTATTTGACTTAGTCTCTACTTGAGAAAGAGAGACCTAGTATAGGATAACTTGGCTAAGAAGGAATTGGGTCAATCGAGAGATTGATTTACCCAATTAAAGCATTCAACCTAGAGATAGTAATAACCCGACTCGAGCTTTTATCAACTGTTTTGTGTGATACCCATTTAGTCTTGAGAAAGCCAAATTGGGCAAAACCACTCTCTGACCGAGAGGTATTTAGGGGGTAATTTAGAGTTGGTAGCTATAATACACCCCAATCAACATAACAAGCAATAAAGTCTGTATCCCATTAGGCAAATACCTAGGTAATGGTCGCAGCCCAAGGCTTTTTATCAATTTGGAACAACCTCAAAAATAATTATCTCTAGTCTTCTTTCTTTATTTTGCAATCAATAGAGTAAAATTAGAAATAAAAAATCAATCTTTTTGTGGAAGTGCAATTTAGATAATTTAATCGCACACATTGAAATATATACCCCTAACTCCCATCTTAGCTCCTTATGGATTCGACCCCGACTCTTAGTTGGATTTTATTATTTCAAACAACCATTATATATCTCTATTGAGGTGTGCATTTGGATGCGATCAACTTCCACCCGATCAAACAGAAGAGGAGGTCACAGTCCAAAGTCAAGCACGCATTCATCAAAGACGAGGTATAATCTCTTTAAAATAGGTTCCATTCGGGAGTTCAAGTACCCGGATTGGTTAGCTAACGTAGTCGGCGTACCTAAAAAAGGAAACAAGCTTAGAATGTGTGTAGATTATAACGACTTGAATAAGGCATGCCCAAAGGATGCGATGGCCGGGCACGAGACACTGAGCATTCTAGACACTTATTCCGGGTATAACCAAATACGGATATACCGGGAGACCAAGAAAAAAACTTCTTTCATAACTAGGTTTGGCACTTACTATTATAACATGATGCCATTTGGATTAAAAAATACCAGTGCCGCGTATCAACGCCTAGTTAAACGAATGTTCGAAGAATAGGTAGGGAAATCAATGGAGGTTTATATTGATGATATGTTAGTTAAGTCCATGCGAGTAGAGGACCATCTAAAATATTTGTAGAAAAACTTTGACATACTAAAGGAATACAACATGAAGCTGAATCCGGGAAAATGTGCCTTCGACAACGTCAAGGTGGTACAAAGGTTGACCGGGAGGATAGCCGTATTGGGCCAATTTATTTCTAGGCCATCGGATAAAAGCCACCAATTTTTCTCGTTACTAAAGAAAAATATCGACTTCTCTTGGACCTTGGAATGCCAAAAGGCTTTGGAAGAACTCAAAAATACTTATCAAGTCCTCTTTTGCTGCACACCTCGAAGGCGAACGAGCAATTGTATCTATACTTGGCAGTCTCCAATGTATCGGTAAGTGGTGTCCTGGTCCGGGAAGAAGAAGGAGTGGAGTTTCCTATCTATTATGTTAGTAGAACCCTAGGTAATGCCTAAATGAGGTATCCACATCTAGAAAAATTAATGTTTGCCTTGTTAATCACATCTAGGAAACTAAAACCATACTTTCAATGTCACCCTATATGTGTCGTGGCCTCATATCCGCTAAGGAATGTTATGCATAAACATGAGCTCTTAGGTCGGCTAGAAAAATAGGCCGTAGAGGTTAGCGGGTATGATATTGAATACAAACCCCGAGCAGCTATAAAGTCTCAAATTTTGGCAGACTTCGTGGTCGATTTCACAACGGCCTTGATCCCCGAGGTTGATTAAGAATTATTACTTGCCTTGGGGACTAGCTCGGGGGTCTGGACCCTATTCACAGACGGTGCTTCCAACGCGAAAGAGTCTGGGTTAGGAATCGTACTAAAATAACTCACGGGTAATATAATAAGGCAATCTATTAGAACTGTGAAATTGACTAACAATGAAGCCGATTATGAGGCTATGATTGCAGGTCTAGAACTAGCTAAAAGCCTGGGGGCTGAGGTGATCGAAGCCAAGTGCAACTCCCTCCTTGTTGTTAACCAAGTTAACAGAACATTCGTAGTCAAATAAGACCGGATGCAGAGATACTTGGATAAATTACAAGTGGTGTTACATCAGTTCAGAGAATGGACGTTACAGCATGTGCCCCGAGATCAAAATACTGAGGCCGATATTTTGGCTAACTTAGGATCGTCAGTCGACTCTGATGAATTTAACTCCGGAACGGTGGTGCAATTGATGATCTCAATGATAGAGGAAGATCACGTCGAAGTAAACTCAATGAGTTTGACCTGAGATTAGAGAAACAAATACATAGACTACCTTCAGAAGGGGAAACTGCTATCGAACCCTAAATAATCAAGGGGGCTTCGAATTAAAGCTGTCAGGTTCAGCTTAGTTGGGGGCCAACTGTATCGAAGGTCATTTTTCGGACCATTAGCAAGATACTTGGGGCCTAGGGAGACCGATTTAGTGACGAGGGAAGTCCACGAGGGCACTTGCGAAAACCATTTGGGAGAGGAATTGGTTGTTCGAAAATTGATCAGGGCCGGATATTACTGGAACAAAATGGAAACGGATGCGAAGGACTTTGTTAAAAAATGCAACGAATGTTAAAAGCATGCCTCAATGATCTACCAATCAGGGGAGTTTCTTCACCCGGTCCTTTATCCTTGACTATTCATGAAGTGGGAAATGGACATCATAGGTCCTTTACCATGGGCACCCAGTAAGGCCCAATACATCCTTGCTTATGACCAACTACTTCTCCAAGTGGGTTGAAGCACAAGCGTTCGAGAAATTTAGAGAAAAGAAGGTCATTGACTTTATTTGGGATCATATAATATGCCGGTTTGGGATACCGACCGAGATCGAGTTTGACAACAGGAGGTAATTCATCGGCAGCAAGGTCAATAAGTTCTTCGAAGATCACAAAATCAAGAAGATTGTATCAACCCCTTACCACCCGAGTGCAAACGGTCTAGCGGAGTCAACAAAACAAAACCATATTGCAAAACTTGAAGAAAATGCCGACCGACTCCAAATGAAAGTGGAAAGAAATTTTGTTGAGGTCCTATGGGGCTATCAAACAACTTCGAGGTCGAGTACCGGTGAAACACCGTTCTCTATAATCTACAACGCAGAAGCTTTGATTCCTGTAGAAGTTGGAGAACCGAGCTTAAGGTTTCGATATGCTACGACGACATCGAACGACGAGGCCATGGCCACAAGCCTAAATTTAGCAGACGAAAGACGAGAAGCCACCCAGTCCAGTTAGTAGCTAAAAAGCAACGAAATGGAAGATATTACAATCGAAGGGCAAACCTTTGACACTTCCAAGTCGGGGACTTAGTATTGAGGAAGGTCACAATACATAAAAGTGAGTTTTATGGTAAGGTTTTTAACGAGGCAACAATAAGCGTGCTACTCTAGTTTTAAAGACTGGTCTAAGATCAGGGACTGAGGATTGCCCGTATCAGACCAATAGTACTCGAGCCCTCAAAATTCAGCCTTGAGACAAGAACCGAAGATCTAAGCTCAGAAGTTTAGAAGGCAATTCCATTCAACATTGAAAGCCAAGGCTTGAATGATATGATTTATTGTAAAGGCCAAACGGTCAAACGAACCGTGCCCATATAGCTCGTTCTCGCCATGGAGGATAGCTTTGTATCTTCGATTACTTACACTGTATTTAAAGTCATAAAATGAGAAATTCTCCTTCTATGTTTCATCGGTTTGACGTTCGCACGAGCAGTGTTATCGTTACTTAGAATGAGCACTAGGTTCAAAATCTCCTAGGTCCAGGGGCCACCATTTAATCGGGGGCATGTAACCCCGAAGGCAGTAAGAGTCCATGAGACCATTCCCAACCACCTAAAGACCCTTAAACCTACCGGTCACCGAGGGCACCAAGCCTACGATGCAGGGCCCAAACACGAAAGGGCACATCCAACTTAAGATACGAAGTCTTTAGAGCTTCGACCACAACGTATAAACAACTTGGAGACGTCTGAGTTCTTGCATAAAAATAAAGGTACTTACATATTTTAAATACATAAAATATTACTTCCGACCCGATCAAGCCAATAGGTCTCAAATAACGGCCATGAAAAGAGCTACCTTCGGCAAAGTTTAGTTGTGTCCGGATAAATTATTTAAATATTTTTGACAAAGACCTAATTTTATTTTTTATCGGGTCCTCCGAAGTCAAAGAAACTCGGAGTCACTACTTAACCCAGGCTTTATCCGGCTCTTTGGAAGTTGAACAATTTAACAGTATCAAATTCTATGCTAAGGCATCGATGGCATATTAAGTCCGAGACACAAGTTATATATCCTAAGTCTTAAACATAAGAAAATGTAGAAAAATTAAAGGACATAATATGTAGCCAAAAGGAAATTTCATATATATTTGCCAAAAGGTATTTACATAGGAACTATAAAATGACCCCAAAGTACAGAGTGTACAACTACAAAAAAAGAAAAAAAGACAAAAATAATCTAAGGCATTTCCTACCTAGTCTTCATCAGATCCCAGCTCGTTATCCGAACCATCGGGCTGGTACCTCGCTTTGGCCTCGGCTTCGAGCCTCTTCGAGAGTCTCTCTACGAGACAACCACTTCACGTATTCAGCCTTTATTATTATACGGGCTTCGACTACCTCTACATCATTATTGTACTGGGCCAGCATGTTTTGGGCTTCCGAGACATCGTTCGAAGCCACCTCCAATTTGGACTTCAGCGTAATATATTCTTGGCCGAGAGTGTCTCGTTCTACAACGGCCGAGGCAAGTTGTGCCCGGAGCTCCTCATTCAGCCGAGACCATTTGTAGGCCTTTTTCCTCATCACTCGGAGGTGCACTTTGGTTGATGTCGGGTCCTCTTTGGTGGCGTCCCGATCTGAGGCTAGTAGATCCATTTTGCCTCTCAACTCATCAACTGAAGCTTTGACCTCGTCCATTTCAGACCTAAGCTGGTCGATCAGGGTTATCTTCTCCTGGACCTGCAAGGTTGCGGCGTTAACATTTGCATTTAAACTCTCGTTATAGATTTCGAGCACTCTTACCTTTTCATCTAGGAGGGCATGATCCTGTTTCACCTTCGAAGCCTCCTTTTGGGCTTTTTCCAGCTCATCTTGGAGGATGGAGCGGTCAACCATGTGCTTAAGGACTTCATCCTTTTGCTCACCAAGAGATTTGTACATCTCCTTTTGCTGGACCTGCTCTTTGAGCTCGAACTCAAGGTGACTCACCTCTATCCTGGACCGGTGAAAGCTTTCATAGTGAAGCACCGAGGCCTGAGACTAAAGAAAGAGAAATTATTAAAATACTGTTAAGGCAAAGAAACTCTTTTAAGTTAGAAAGAGAGGAAGGTATACCCTATTCAGCGCCTACTGAGCCTCATTGAAGAGACTCGGCTCGTCGACCTCGTTCATCTTCACTTGGTCCTCTTCGGTTACTAAGGAACAGAGATAGATGGCCACTCCGACTGGCTTGGATAGCATGCTAGTATCTGCCGGTACTGTGAACATGACTGTCTTCTTCCGGTTAGGGTCTACACTCGGGGCGGAAAACTGCTTCTCGAGCTTTGAGCTTGAACTCGGCTCACCTAGCCCCAATTGTACAACCCTTTTTGGGATCTCTCGGTGGCCAAAGCCAGAGTAATCCTCTAGCATGCCAAAAACCACACCCTCAAAGAATGAGTTGAGGGCTTCATCTATGGCCCGAGACATGTCAATTGGTTTTTCTTCAACAGCTTGAGCCTCATTTAAAGTGGCCACCAGCCGGGGCGGCGATTCTTGAATATGGATGACGACGTCATACTCAAGAATAATTTTTCTTGGTGCCAGAGAGGCTTCTTGAGAAGTAGTGGCCACATGTTCCTCATCGGGCTCTCGAGCTGAGGAGGATTTAGCCTTACGATCGCCCCATCCGGGGCTACCAGCTCTTGTACAACATCTATCGGTTTGTGAATGATGAATTCCATGTTATCATCATCCTCGGGAAAGTCCTTGAGCCAATGAAGAGCTTCGGAATCTGGGACCCGGGCACTGGAAGCTTTCTTGGTGCTCTTTCTGACCCTGACCACGACCCTTTTCTTCTTCTTAGCCACCGGGAATGAAATCTGTGAGAGGAGGTCCCAGTGCCTTTACCGAAAGAGTCCCCTCGGCGCCGGTGGCCGAGGAAGAAGTCGTGGGGGCAGTACTCTAGGGTACCAATTTCGAAGTCTTAGCCATCTCAATATGGGAATATGAAGTTTTGAAGATTTGGTATGAAGAGTTGAAGGCTTGGTATGAAGTTTAGAAGGTTTGGTATGAAGGTTTGAAGATAATATATGAAGGTATGAAGATGTGAAGAACAGGTTATGAAAATTTGAAGGATTGACGAACAGATGAAAAACTAGAGGGTAACTCAAGAAGGTTCAAAATCAGAAAGTAATAAGTGAAAAAAGGAATCCGGAGCTTTTATAGGGAAGGAATAATGAATGTGTGATGTTTCACATTCGGTAACTGCCGAGGATGATCAATTGGTGGCTGACGCGTGTCCAAAATCAGAGCGACGTGACTAATGGGACGTTTCAGCTTGTCAACTAACTTATGGTGTATGAAGGAAGGAACCAGGGTCAATCAGTCACTTCTTATCGTTCCTATAAATCTACTCTCCGAGAAGTGAGGGGACTATCTATGTACGGGTAAAATCGGGGATAGTGTTATCCCCGATATCTCGATGAAGAAACGAGGAACAATGTAATTAGTCGGTGGCTCGGGTAAGACTGAGGATGTCCACAGATCGGAACCAGAAGCGGACATGTGATACGTTGGAAATCGAACCCGGAGCGATCCCAGCTCGAGCAATACGAAGAACCAATGGTAAAAGGAAGAAACAGTTAAAGAAAACAAACGAGAAGCCGAAATATCTGCCATCAGTCGGGTATCACGACACGAATCACGCCCGATACTAACTGCGGATCATGTTTTCTTGGGAAGAAAGGAAAGAAAGGTTTTTTACCTTACTTAGACTTGTATTAGGGTTAAAACTCCTCTACTATATATAGAGTGGAACCTTTTCATTTTTTGGGCCATTATTGGCATGCATATCAAAGCAATAAAATTTACTTTTGTCTTTTAGCAATTGTTCAAGTATTCTTCAAGTCGTTCATCCATTCAGTTACAACCAAACTCCGTTACGAGGGCTCGATTGAAACCGATCTTTAGCACTCAAGTCTAACGCTAGGCTTAATTACTTCGTCACATTTGGTTTGATCGTTTTGATTTTCTTTAATTCAATTACTTGTTGTTCTTTGACCGTTCGTGTTAAATTAAACTATGTATCCTTTAAACCGCGTACAAATTTAATTGTTACTCATTTTAAGGGTAAACAAAGTTTAAGTTGAGAGTATCAAAAAGTTCTTATATGATCAAATTACAATAAGTTAGTAATATGGTTGATAACTAAAAAAGGGAATAAATAATATGTGGGAATTAATCAAATTTTACTAAACATGTAAATACCTATTTGTTAGTAGATAGATAAATTATACTAATACGACCTTGATTTCATCACGTGATCAGCTATAGGGCAAAGGTCGAAACTAATTGAGGCATTAAATTTATGGATTAGGCATCCCTAAGGAGCAAGTCATGGGGGCTATAAACGTGTCTGCATGAATACAATCTCATAGGCATAACAACAAATATGTCAAATATTTACTTGAGTCAAAACTCCAAGAATTTCAGAGACGAATTTAGGATTGAAATTAATCGGTTCAATTTTGCACAGAATTAAATATACCGTTAAAATTATGAATTCAAATCTAATATTTATTAAGATTTTAATAAATTTTTATGTGCATATTTTATATTTATATTCTGTGTCGAAATCTATGTATGCAAATAAGCTCGTAGCCGAAAGGCTATCTCCGCCCCTACCAAGAACAAGTCAATTGTTGCACTCTATGTATTATTTATTTATTTATAAGCTTTGTGCTCCTCACAACCACAAATACTTATTAGTCCTATTAGTTTTCACGGAAAGAAAAACAAGAGAGGCGGAATGACCATCCAGTTCTTTTTGCTTTCGCTCTTTGTTTCTATGTTTTTTATTTAAGTTTTTCATATATATGATATTTTTCATTCGCTTTAGAGCCCCGATTTCTTCTTCAGTATTTTAAACACATAGAGGGAGATTCATATTATATATTCTCTAAATCATCTAAATATATGTTAAAATCATATATGATTATGCTTTCTTTTATTGTGAGAAATACTTCCAAATAATAAAAATCGAAAATAACAGACATATTTTCTGTTATGGAGTCTATCCTGCTCTTACTTCATGAAACATCGACATGTTCCAATATTTTGGTCCATTCATTCTCTCTCACTCGCATTCGTCCTCGATGTGATCATCTTCAATCAAAAAAATCAATTTGATTTTAAGAGTTATAAGTAAATTGAAGATATATTTTAATTAATCAATAATATTAAATAATAAAACTTAATTTAAAAGTATTTATTGCTTATTATTGAGTTGATATAATTAAAATTAAATTGAGTTTGATAGTTTTTTCTCATTTAACACTTTTTTTTTCTAGTTGTTCTTTCTATGTTTATCACTCAAACAATCACGAAATGAAATGAGTATGCAGAAAACACTTTCTCTCTATAGAGGCAAATAATAAACTAATAAAATGAATGACTGTTACAAATCTGAGTTCTACAGTCAAAAATGAACTAGTGGATGTACATATTCATACTTGGTTAAATAAAATTTTTATTGTTTGACAAAAAAAAAGTGAATGACTATAAAGTCAGAGATATGAAAGTATTCAAATTAATTTGATTTAATTGGAGAATTATGGATTTGAATTTCGGCATATTATTTGAATTACATGAAGAAACACAATATTGTTTTAATACTTAGATCAAACAAGAAAAATAATACAACAAAGCTACTTTTAGTCCGTTTGAATGTATTACCTTTTATTCAAATGAAGGTGCATATATGTTTGAAGTTATACTTATAGATATTTTTTTCCAGACACATCCACTTTTCGAAAATTAAATCTAAACACAAAATGTACATCTAAAACTCTAGTCTTCACTTTAGGAGTTCCGATTTATCAAATCTTTCGGACTATTAAAGTCTTAGATTTCATCGTCAGCCACAAACTAATTCCCCCCNACCCCACCCCACCCCCACTTTTTTATAACAGTTATTCAGAAAGTTAATAATTCAAAAATCAAATTAGGAAATCAGATTACATTATTAATTTACACCAAAAGAATTTACTTAAATAGTTCTCACACATTCAGAACTAGAACTAAAGGAAAAGAAAAAAGAAAACGAGAAGTGTAAGAAATTTTTACAATACCGGTCAATGGTCATGAGGTCACGTGTACATATACAAATAACCTGTCTTATTTATAAAATTATTAAATTTATTTTAAAAATACTTACTCGTAAATATTATTTAGTGATTTAATAATGTAAAAAAATTATTTGCCCATTTATATAATTTATCCATCAATAAAATAAGTTGGTAATAGGGACAAATCCAAAAAAGGAAGAATAGAAAAAACCTAAAAGAAAGAAATAAAAGAAAAGAGAAAAAGAAATGTACAAAAACTACAAAAGGAAAGGAAGAGTGTGGGAAACTACAGTTCGTCGGCAAAGAAGAAAGCAAAAACATCTTCGTATGAATCAATCAATCAGTTTTTAATCCTTAGACTTGACTTTATCCTCTCTCCCAATCCACGTTAACTCCACCCACCCACCTCACTCCTTTAGTTTTCTTCAAAAACTCATCATTCTTGATTTCCCGGCCAGCATTCTTGATTTTCCGGCGAGATGGCCGGAAGTGTACCGGAGATCCAAATCCAGGTCAATTCAAAGAAAGGGGGTAACTCAATACACCCAGTAGAGCCAGCGAGAACATCAGCAGGAGGAGGACCACCTGTTGTTTATAGAGAAATTAAGCATTTCAAGAAATGGTTTCCATGGTTAATACCATCTTTTGTTATAGCCAATGTGGTGACTTTTTTAGTAACCATGTATGTTAATAACTGCCCCCACAACTCTGTTTCTTGTGTTGCTGGATTCTTGGGTAGGTTTTCCTTTCAGCCTTTCAGTGAAAATCCTCTTCTTGGGCCTTCTTCTAACACGTATGTATATCTCTTTCTTATCCCTTTTTTTGGTATTGTAAGTTGATATTCAATGGAGTATTTGTGTGTCGAATCTCTCTGTTTTATGGTGTACTCTATGCTCCTGTCTTTGAAGGAAGCATTGGCGTTGCCCCAAGGTTTTTTGTCTTGTGGTAAGAGCACATCTCGTGATGTGTCCAGGTTCGGACCGCGCAGATAAAAGCCTGGTATTTAAGTGGAGAATTTAGAACCCTGTGCCACTGGCCCTCAGGGATTTCTCTGTTGTCAACAACAACAACAAACCCATTAGTTTCCCACGAGTGGGGTTTGGCGTGTGTAAGATGTACCCTCGGCTAGAGATGACCGAAACTATGTTGTCAACAACAACAAAAGAAAACCTTTAGATTCCAAGTTTGAGTTGATGTGTAGGTTTACCAGCACCTATAGTTGTGAGCTGTAGCAGGTTACCCGGTTAATTAGTGGAGGGACAGCACGACGGCCTAAGGGAGGGATGGGCTGTGAAGCTTGTGGAAGGCAGGAGCGGAGCTATGTAAAGTCAAGGGGGTTCAATTGAATCCCCTTCGTTGAAAAATTATACTGTGTAAAAAAGGCAAATAAGATTTTTTTTGTTATATATAAACTGTTGAATCCCCTTTGACATATGAGAAGGCTCTATTGCAGTGGCAAAGGGGTTCAGAAATTTCTTTAGGTCATAGGTTCAAATATCAAGTGCAACATTATAATACTTTTTGAATCCACTTGTATAAATTCCTGGCTCCACCATGGTTAGAAGGGTCATTTTGTCACAAGTTGAAGTTTTTTGTATTCACTTATAGGTGCGATCGAGCTTAAGTTTGTTTGAATTAGCTTGAATAAGATGAGGCAATACTCAATATGATTATAGGTGTGCCTTTTTTGATCAAGTAGTCAAGAGGGCATTATGATAGGCTTTATTTAGATGAGTTTATGTAGAGAAGGGGAGAGCGGCCGGGTGGTTATCATCACTCTAACCTTTGAGGGTTGACTACGAAATCTTCTGTCTTGGGTACTGGAAAGGAGGATTTTATTGGTACAGATTGAATTAGGAACACAGGAGGTGTAGAAATTAAGCCTAATCAAAAGAGAAAATTGCACATGCTCTTCAGTGTTGCCTCCAATGCTGTATTTGGTATCTCTTTGGCATTCTTTTGTCCTGCTTTTTGCAAGGATCTAGACCACGTTACTAGGAGCTTTTTTTTCTCATAGTTTGTGCTTTAGTTTACTTAACTTCATCTTGTACCTAGTGTTTTTCCATAGTTTGCACTTAATTTTCTAGCTTCATATTGTACCAAGAAAGAGTAAAAATTAAAAAGAAAATGCCGACCCAAGCTGGCGCTTCCTCTTTGTTAGACATGCAACATCTTTTGGCAAATTTTTCACTTCATAGGGAGGTTTTTTTTCCTTGTGTGAAGATAACCTTGTGAGCACCAGGCCAGGTAAAATGACGACCCCTTTTTGGACTGCATCAAATGAGGAATTCCTAGATCGCAGATGATGACAGAAAATTTTGGCTATCACAATGGGATGATGAGAGAAAATTTATCTTTTTGGACAATATTAAGGGTTCTCCTAAAACGAGATGTTCTTTAAATTTCATACCTATCCCTGCACTATCATGCAATCTCTAACCAAACTAAAAAAACTCATGTCAAACACCGTAATTATTGTGTGTTAATAGCAATTAAACCTTAACCCAGCCTAATCGGTATTGACTATGCAGGTATTTCGCTTCCAGTGTGTTTAAATTTGCATGGATTCAAGAGATTTTAGGTCTTTTGTAAAACTTCCCTTCATGTGATTATAGGTCTAACTTATCCTATTTTAGTACATCTAATCATCATCACGCCACCTATGAGCCGGTACATTTGACTAGTCATACACTTCAATATTTGATGATCAAATTAGTGAATTACTGAAACTTGTTGATCTTTTACTGTATTGAGGTTGATGAATGAGTTTGCGGCATTCTTTTTTTGTTGCTTTTCTAGGCTAGTAAATCAATTCTCTTTGCTTAAACGTAAGCTACATTGGAACATATAAATATCAACATCACTTGTAAAAAGTTTTTTATCTTTTCCTTTTTGTTTAGACTAGAGAAGATGGGTGCTTTAGACGTGAATAAGGTGGTCCACGAACATGAAGGGTGGCGCCTTATTACTTGCATGTGGTTGCACGGTGGAGTTTTTCATTTACTGGCCAACATGCTGAGTCTGATAGTCATTGGCATTCGGCTGGAGCGAGAGTTTGGATTTGGTAATGTGTTACACTCCTATAAATCTTCAGAGCTCTTACCTGCATTTACATTTGGGTTTTGCTCCACATTGCTCCTATCAAAGTTCCTTTAACTTTTATCTTGTTGCATATTCATAATTGATGTTATGTTGCATTTCTGAAAAAGTACTAAGACTCCAGAAGCTAAGACTTATTTGCTACAACTTTCATTCATTTGTTATTTACGAGATTTATATGCTCATGCTTCTCTTAGCTGATATTAAAGTTGGAGAAAGCAGAATCTAAGACCTACTTATCAGTAAAAAAGATTGAAATGATCACTTGGATTTACCGTGTTGTTGACTTGATAACATTGCATCTCAAATTTATTTGAATAAAGGTTATCAAATTTCACTAAAAGAAGGGCAAAAAGAACCCGTATTCTAGAAGTATACCAAAAGATAGAAAACCTTGTCAAATGTATTTCTACGAATGATAATCTTCTATACATATAGGGACCTCGTGGGTGCACAAAAAAGAAATAAAGGATAAGATGCTACTCCTCAAGTGTACAAAATCATTCTCTACTCTATTAAAAGATCGCCTATTCTTTCTTTCTCTCTTTCTCCATGTGATCTACATTAGTGCTAAAAGTGCAACATCCCATGCTCTGCGTCTTCTCTTCCATCTTCTAAGAATCCAGCTAAAAATTGTTCTTTAACAGTGACTGGCATCGTCAACTAAAGTCCAAATCATCTCAGTATTTTCAGCAACAAAATAAGCACCAATTGAAATGCATAATCTTTCAAATAATGATTCAAGTCTTCTCTTGAGTTTTTACACATGCAGCACTAATTGAAATAAGTTATCTTTCTCTTCCTCAAATCCTCAGCTATCAAGATCATCCCTTGTGCAGCTAGCGAATTAAAAAACACACCTTTCTCCGTACCCTTGAGGTCCATATCGAGAGATGAGGGCAAGTTGAATCCTCCCTACTCAGAAGCTTCTCATAATAGGACTTATCAGAGAAGACACCATTATTTCCTGCCCCTCATCTCCATTCATCGTGGCTAACCTGTGAAGCACTTTGTTTGTGAAGCAATTCAATCAAACTATGGAATTCTGCAACCTCATAGTCTTGCAAGGTTTTCCTGAACCTCAAATTGCAATGCACTTCTTCCCCTTGTAGACTCCGTATCTGTTGGACTAATATCTTCTTTTGACATGAATTTCTATACATGTTTGGAAATGTGGTTCTCAAGGTGCTATTCCTGCACAACTTATGTCCCCAGAAACTTACCCTGCTCCTATCACCCACCTTGAATGATACATTCCCATTAAACTCTTTGCACACATTCAAGATATTCCTCCATACTCGCACCTATAAGGAAGTTTGATATCTTTACTCCTCCATCCCTCTTTCAAGATCCCATATTTCTCCGCGATCACCCCCTCCAAAAGGCATTCGCCTCTATCCTGAATTTACATAGCCACTTATCCGATAACACCTTGTTAAAAACCCTTAAATTGTTAATCCCATCCACCCCAACACTTTCATGTTGTGACCGTCTCCCTATTTACCAAGTGAAATGTCCTGTCCCCATTTGAAGCATGCCATAGGAAATCTCTCTGAAGTTTTTTTCAACTTTCTTGTAGTACTGAGTACTGACTACTGGCTGGAGCATGGGACAAGGATATGAAATATATGGGAATACTCTGATTGATACTCTTAATTAACACTTCCTTTCCCCCTTTTTCTAAATATTATCTTCTCCTGTAAAAATTTTGGCTGTAAAAGGTGCTGCTGAACTATTCAATGGATCCAATTGAGTGGAGAGGTGCTCTTGTCTGAATGTGCTGATATAAAATTGTCAAACCAGTGCTATTTTATCATTTGCATTACATGCATAACATTTGATCCCTTGATGTCCATTTGTACAAGAGGATTCAGTTCAATTATCACATTTGAGATTTATGGAATTAAGTATTCCCTAAATCAGTTGTCTGGCCTTGTCCGGTTAGATGCTCAAGTCTCCGGTAGTCATATCTTGTTCTTTTTTTCCTTTTTGCTTAAAAGGTTTGTGTGATGGTCTGCATCTGCTTTGCAGTTCTCAATAGAGGTGGATTGCAGTATATTATATATGTCCATTTTATTTGTTTTTTCCTTATACATGTTTATATGGTTTGAGCTGAATGCAGTGGCTTATTTTTCTTTATTATGTTTCGTAGTACGCATTGGCCTGCTCTATATCATTGCGGGACTTGGTGGCAGCTTGTTCTCAGCTCTATTTATTAAGTCAAATATATCTGTCGGTGCTTCTGGTGCACTTTTTGGGTTGCTGGGGAGCATGCTTTCTGAGCTGATAATCAATTGGACTATATATGCCAATAAGGTATTTATCGAACAACTCCTTATCACAGTTCTCACCTGCCATTAATGGTATGCTTACTGATCACTTGATTGAGAACCAATCATCTTATAAAGCCATTTGGCTCCTTGTTTTCCCCTTCTCTACAGCTCACAGTTTTAGTGACTCTTGTGGTCATCATTGTTATAAATCTGGCGGTCGGAATTCTCCCGCATGTTGACAACTTCGCTCATATTGGAGGATTTATGTCTGGTTTTCTTCTTGGTTTCGTCTTTCTGATTCGGCCCCAATTTGGTTGGGTGAGCCAGAGATATGCATCCAGTGCATATTCTTCAACATCAGCTAAACCTAAATTCAAGCTGTATCAGATGGTCCTATGGGTTATTTCTCTTATTCTTCTGATAATTGGGTAAGTTTCTTTAGAGTTGTACCTTATTTTTCCTGTGCTGTCCTGTTTTAATTGGGCTGCAGAAGAAGTGCCAAAAGGACCTGTTCTTTCTTTGGTGGTGGGGTGTTAAATTAAACTACAGTGTTTTTAATATTCACACATTTTGCTTTTTTTAACTATCTATCTCACCAGTCCTTTTTTCTTTTTGACATTTTATCATCTCTTTTATTTGGATTCTACTCCAGTTTGAGAAACTAAAAGTAAAAAAGAAGAAAATATGAAAATCTCATTCCTAGACAAGTTTCTGCTGTTGGTGCTGTCATATATGCTATTTGTTATGAACCTAATGGGTGCTCAGTCGAGTGACAAAGTAACATGTAGTAGTGATCGGATGAAACTAAGTTGTTTTCATTCCCTTCTTAATTACCTTTTGATCAATGGATCCCGACATAGTGAAGCACTTATTTGTTACCAAGCAACTGCAGTCACCGTAATATGCCTAGCTTGAAAATCTAAGTGACATGTTATTTGTATGATGTAGGTCCCATTACTCTAGTCTTCTGTTATCTATCAGTTCATGGTTTCATCTCCGTGATTTTGATAATTATAGCCTTTAAACTATAAATTTAGGATAAAGAGGATTCTGAATTTGATGAACTTATTTATCTTAGTAGTTGATTCTCCTTGGTGCAGATTCACTGGCGGCTTGGTCATGCTTCTCCGTGGAGTAGATTTAAACGATCATTGTTCTTGGTGCCACTATATGAGTTGCGTACCCACTTCAAGGTGGAGTTGCAACACAGAGCCTGTTTCCTGTATGGTAAGTAGTTACTGAATTTCTCATTCCACAAATCTCAATAAAGCTCCTTCACTGTCGTGACATGAAACTATTCATTTTCCGAATTCATGGTTACAGAACTTAGGTTGGGGATGTAAATTTGAACTTCATTTTCCGATTCGTTCTTGCAGTCTGAGCAAACAGATAACCAGCTAACATTGACATGCTCCAACAGCAACAAGACCAGATCATATTCTTTGTCGAATCTAAGTACGTCTCAGATCCAGGGGCTGTGCAGTCAGCTCTGTCGTTGATTAGCCATCACTTACAATTTGTTTGTAAATTGATGCCATTGTCATTGTGGCATAGTTATTGCTTCAGCATATACATGTCTTAGAAACTACACATCACATTTGATCAACTGTTTTTGTATTGAAGTACATTCTTATATATAGTAAATATACACATTTGATATTTGAAAGGTTGCTGAATTTTTCCAAGTCGCCCTGTTTAACGTTCGGAAGGCTCATTGGAATTTGAACTCGTGTTATTACAGTTTATCGCTATTTAAAATTTCAGGTGAGCCTTCTCAACTACTGGGATGTCCTATTAGGAACAATCTTTGGTTTCAATTTGGGGAAATGACATGGTATAGCCGCTTTCAAAATAATAGCTGAAAAATATATATATNAGCAAAATCTTGTATAGCTTGAGAAAAAGAGTCGTTTTTCATTTGTTATGCGTCTTAGAAACATAAACTTCTAATTCTGAATTGAATTCTCTTTTTGACAATTTATTTAATTCTTTTAATATAACATGTACTATTAATTTTAACTTCGGTTGTTATTACAATAAGTATTTACCACGGGATTTTTTTTTAAAAGAATAACAAAATTGCAACATCATTACCGATTTAACCAGGGATTGAGGTTGTTACAAAACGAAGAGAATGGATTTGCTGAGGAACCATAGAACATCTAGCTTTTGTTTTTTTGGAGAAACGATACTACGTTTTAATCTCACCTTATTAAACAATTAATATGAGTGATAATGGTCTTCTAGTCAAATTATTATGAGTGTAAATACCACATAGCAGATCTGACAAGGTTATTTTCTTCTATTCAAATTGCAAGTGACTACAAGAAATCATTTCCTCTAATGACAAATAAATATATATGATTGGTTCTAGTAATAACACATGCTAGGGGTGTACAAACCGAACCGGTAAACCGCACCAAACCGAAAAGTCAAACCAAACCGATTTAAAAACCTGACTAGGTTTGGTTTGATTTGGTTTGGTATTGAGTAAAAAAAATCCAAATCAAACCGACATATAAATATATAAGAGTAATTTATATATATATTTTTGAGATTTTATATAGAATTTTCTTTAAAAATGTCTAGAAATATTTGGGATTCTCTTACGTGATATAATATTTAATAGAATATGAAGTGCTCCACATTTATTAACCTTAAATAATGGGTTGTATGATCACTTTCTTATCAAGTGTTACTAAAATGCGTCAATCTCTTTATTCTTTCATATTCATATGTTACATCTATTAAATTTTTATATCTTTTTCGAATTTGAAGTGATTATTATTATTTAGGTAACGTATTGATTTTTATGTTTAATTACTAAATTCAATTAACCTTAAAAGTGTACATCAACAAAACAATTATTGTGAGACGACTAAAAAAATAACTATCATGTGTTACTAAGTAAATTCTCCCATAAGAATATTTTAATAGATAATATATTTGTCAATTTTTTAAATTTTTACTAAACATATATTTACTTATCAAAAAATTAACAAATTAAGATTGAAATAATATTTAAGTAACAAAAATCCGACAAAACCGAACCAATCCAAACCGATATAATTGGTTTGATTCGGTTTTAATAAAAAACTGTCACGGCCCAATTTTTCCTCCGTTTGGGTATCGTGATGGCACATAGTCTTAAGGACAAGGTAAGCCTAACAATAATTAAAACAACAACATTATTTAAATAAAATCTCTTACAATTCTCAAAATCGGTAATACAAGTCATAAGCTCTACAGAGTGTTTGCTAGAAAATTTCTAAATATAACTGTCCAGAAATAAGAATAAACAGTGCAAAACAAAAACTTGAAGGTGACTCTGAAACCTGCGAACGTAGCGGCAAATTTACCTTGAGTCTCTGCAGCGACAGTCCACACAGCTAGCTGACGAATAAATACCCGGGTCTGCACAAAAAAAATTATGCAGAAGAGTAGCATGAGCACACCACAGCGGTGCCCAGTAAGTATCAAGACTAACCTCGGTGAAGTAGTAACGAGGACTAGTCAAGACACCCACTGGTCTAATAAATTGAACAAGCATAAGTATAGGGATGGCAGAACATGATATCTATCTAAGGACCCTGCGATATGGCTAACGACATAGCAACTGCAATAAGGAAGGAAAAACAGCAAGTAACAACGGAACACCAGAATAAGACACAGAAGAATGAACGAAAAACACAACCCAAATCCAAAAATCACAATACAGTAAAGGCAAGTAGTAACTCAACAGCTGCAATAGTTTTCACATGAGGTCTCAACCAACAACCCCAATAAATTAGTCAAATCCTTCAAGTGTAAACTTTCACCCGTAAGTTTTTAAATTGAGGTCTTTAGAATATAATCATTTCCAATAAGAAATTATTTTTGAAATATACTTCCTTCAAATAAATATCTTTCAAACATAGTTCTTTCAAGATAAAATCTTTCAAATATAAACTTTTCAAATAATTAGCCTTCAAACATAGTTCTTTCAAGATAAACACTTTTCAAGTATAACCCTTTCAAATAAATATCTTCAAACATAGTTCCTTCAAGATAAATACTTTTCAAATATAAACTTTTCAAATAATATTCTTTGAGTATAAGTCACCCTGTGACACCCAAGCATAGAAGATTAGCAGCTCCGAACACAAATATAACCACAGGAGAAATCTATCGGGATACCGTCCCGTAGTCCCGAATTAATTATGCAGTACGGGGGAGGAGGAATCTCCCGGAATACGTCCGTAGTCACAAAATAAATATGCAGTACTGGGGGGTCTCCCAGAATACGTCCGTAGTCCCAAAGTAAATATGCAAGATAAGGGGATCTCCTAGAATACGTCCGTAATCCCAATTTAAATATGCAGTGCTGGGGGATCTCCTGAAATACATCCGTAGTCCCAATTTAAATATGCAGCGCAAACAACAGAGATAACAACTATAACACGACAGAAACCTCGTACATCACCGCAACGAGTACAAAAGCAACAATGAAAGAAATGCAAAGTACGTCGAGCAAATCTACTCAAGAATTTAAATCACAAGAACAGTAGAACTCATTTGCAAGGAATAACCACCGTAAAGAATGTTAGGCACAAGGAGAACAGCTTAACAAGGGAAAACAAAACAAAAAATGTAGCAACGATTTCACAATATTCAAGTCAACAATAAGAAGCCAACACGAGTCAAATAGTTCCAAATAATGGCAAGTCAACTAAGATATATGTTATCTAAACTCCTTTTGAGGTTGAGCAATTACGAGAAATATTTAACAATTCAAATAAGGATAAGCAGTGAAAGATAATCATAACTCCAATTAAGACTAAACAATTATAGGATGAGAAAATAATGATTTCAATTAAAGATAAGCAGTTATGAAAAATATAGCACGACGATAGAAGGGGTAAAATCTTTGGTTAAGTCGAATAATGGTCAAATAGATATGAAACTAGCAAATATGAATTCAAACGTATCAAAAACAACATCATACACAGTAAATATAAGGACACAAGCAGCCTAAAAGGCCAACTTTCTACAAATAATTCCGAGCACGCTCTCGTCACCTCGCGTACACAGACTACAATTAACATAGATGACTCAAATCCTAAGGGGTAGTCCCCCTCCCCCCAAAGTTTGGTAAGATACTTACCTCGATTCAAGCTCAATCAATCCGTAAGAATGCCCTTTCCATGAATATCTGGCTCTGAATGGCCCAAATCTAGCCAAAAGCAATTACATATCGTAATTACAATCATAATAGACTCATCTAGTTAATTAAATCAATACTTTAACAAAAATTCTGAAATTCGCCCTAAAAGCTTGACACAGGCCCACGTCTCGGAATCGGGTAAAAGTCACAAAATCCAAAAGCCTATTCACTCACGGGTCTAACCATATCAAATTTACTAAAATCCGACACCAAATGGTCCTCCAAATCCACAATCCAACTCCCCAAATCCATAGCCTCCAACTTCTAATTTCCACCTTAAATACACACTAACTAGGTGGAAAAATATATGGGGAATCATGATTATTGATCAAAAATAAGCACAAGGGACTTACCTCAAGAAATCTCTCGAAAATACTCTCAAAAATCGCCCTAAACCGAGTTGTAAAGTCCAAAAAATGACAAAAATCGCGAAGCCCTTCGGTTTTAACCACTGCCCAGGTATTTCCGCACCTGCGGAGCCTGGGCTCGCACCTGCGGGTGCGTTTGTGCGGCCAAAAGGTGTGCATCGGCGCAAATCACTTACCCCCTCTGCCTTCGCACCTGCGATGAAAGGGCCGCACCTGCGCGTGCGCGCCTGCGGAAATCCCTTCCACTTCTGCGGATCCTGCGCACCTACGATGACCCTAACGCATATGCGGGCATCGCAGATGTGGAATTCACCTCGCACCTGCGACCCCTGGCACTCCTCCATTTTTCCGCTTCTGCGCTTGCCTCCCCGCATGTGCGATCACGCACCTGGGATCTCTCCACCGGAGGTGCGAAAATGACAGATGCCTGAGCAACTCAAATCCAACTTTTGATCCGTTAAGCACTCGAAACTCACCCGAGGCCCCCGGGACCTCAACCAAACATACCAACCAATCCTAAAACACCATACGAACTTAGTTGAGCCCTCAAATCACATCAACTAACGCTAAAAATCATGAATCACCCTCCAATTTAAACTTAAAGAACTTAAAACTTCAAATTCCTATAACTGATGTCGAAACCTATCAAACCACATCCGAATGATCTCAAATTTTGCACACAAGTCATATTTAACATTTCGGACCTATTCTAAATTCGGAAATCGCATTCCGACCCCGATATCAAATAGTCCACTACCGGTCAAAATTTCCAAAAATTCGACTTCCACCATTTCAAGCTAAATAAGCTACAAACCTCCAAAATACAATCTAGACATTCCCCTAAGTCCAAACTCACCCAACGGAGCTAACAGAAGCGACGAGATTCCGTTCCGGAGTCGTCTTCACACAGTTCCAACTACAGTCAAAATCCTAAGACTTAAGTTTCCTTTTTGGGGATTAAGTGTCCAAATCACTTCGAATCACCCGGTAATTGAATTCAACCACGCAAGCATGTCAAGGCACATAATACGAAGCTGCTCAGGGCCTTATGCCGCCGGACGAGATTTACATTCTCAAAACGGCCAGCC